CACTGATTTTTTTAATGAACCTTTTTGAGTTTTTTATCATAAAATGTGCATTACTTTATATCCTTCCGGAGTGGTAGATTTTTTACAACAGTTTCAAATGTGTCAGGTTCATGGTGGACACCCTGTATATGTCTTTTTACTATTATATATAAATAAACATAGTAAAAAAGTATATATTTTTTATTTTTTGGAGTCTCCGGAACAAAGTAATCAAATTTCCATAAATTCCTATGGTAAATCGATTATTGGTTAACGAATAATTCAGATAACGGATTATGTTCATTAACCGATCACTCACTGTATTAACGAAGTAAGCAATTTGGCTAGAGGTAGGCGACAAAGTTATCGTCTTGCATTAAATTTAATAATTAGAAATAAGTTAATGTAAATTTAGAATTGGTCTGGAAGTGAAGATTAGAGAGAGGTCCAGATTGCATAATTGGCAACACACCTGCATGCTAAGTGGGAGTTGTGGGTTTCAGTTCTCTCTGACATGATCTCTTCTTCCAGAATATTCTAAATTTAAATTAATTTCTTTCTAATTATTAAATTTAACAGGAGATGGGGACTTCCTATCTCTAGCCAAATTCTTAATTCTTTAATAATTAATTAGTCTTAAAATTGCCCTGTAAAATCAGCTGTTATTTAATATTTAAATTAATTATTGGTTGGTTATAAATGTTACTAGCAGACCCTGCCACGTGTTGTTGTGGCTCAAAATGTATCTATTATAAATGTATAAGACTTTCCCCATGGGGGAATTTTTTGAAAAATCCTTTCTTACTGTACATTCTCTTGACGTACCCTATTAAAATTCAATCAAAAATGCAAAATATCACATTTAAAATAGTATAATAGAAACCAAGTTCTTCACGGCAAGACTTAATCCTGTCCTTCTCCCCCGCGGGGGGAATATCGAAAAATCCCTTTTTAGTGTATATGTTGACGTACCCTACTAAAACTGAATCAAAAACGAAAAAAACCGCATCTAAAATAGTATAATAGAAGCAAAGTTCTTTACGGTAAGCCTTAATCCTAACCATCTCCCCCAGTGGGTGAAATTTCGACATGTATATTATATAAAAACACATGCGTATTCGAATACAATGTAGTGTCAAAATTTCAAAAAAATTGGTAGGAAGAAATGAACATTACATTTTTATTTATATAGATAGATAGAAGATGATCTGCTTTGGTTCATCCTCACAGAAAAGCAAACTTGGGTCATCGTACTCGTAGCGCCATCTGTTGGACATAAAAGCCTTAACCTAGATGATATCTTTTAATTTATATGAATGTTTAACGGAATAATATACAGCCTATGTCCACTCTGAAGTTCCATTCTAAATATTGGTGAAAGAATTTTTGAAATCGGATGAGTAGTTTTGGAGATTACTCACTACATCCAAACTTACAAACATTACCTCTTTATAATATTAGTATAGATTAACTATAGTTACATATTTATGTATAAGAAATTATTTAGAAATTAAAAATTTATTTAATTACTATTTTTGAAATATAAAAGTTTAAAAAAATGTTTTTGAAAATATTAAAATTTTTTATGATTTTAACTTAAAAATAAATTTAACTTTTAGAACTTGTGAAATTAAACAGACTTTGGAAATCCATATATCAATGCCATTCATATATTAATATTAAAAAAATTTTTTTTTTTTTAAATTATAAAGTAGTTTTATTTTAATTTAAAGCCAAAGATGGTTAAACTGTAAGCCTACTGTTTCAAGAGACCAGGGATTGAAACAGGACAAGCAATTCTAGGAATTTTCACGGGCCGTTTGTCACAGATATTGAGGCCCCGGACCCTCATCACTCTGCTTCTCCCATAGCGGGCCTGGCTGAATCCATAATGAATATGATTAAAAAAGGTCCCTTTAGTACTCATAAAGGAGTGAGAGAATGAGGAAAAAATATATCAAAATATTCTTTTATTTTTATTTAATGACTTATTTGTACATTAATATATGAATGGTAATATTATTATGTGTATTTTGCAAGACTACTTTTACAGTAATCTGTTGAAAACAACCTGAATTTTTTTCATTAATTTTATTTGGGTTTTATACAAAACTTAATATAACATAAAATGCAAAGTAAATGAATGAACCTAAATGAAAACCAAAAGTAATTTAGATATTTCAAGGAAATCATATATTATAAAGATTAATTTTGATTTTAATAGATTATATCTATTATCTGTTATGTCTATTATGTCTATCTGTCTGTTTTTCCTTAATCTTGAGAATGATGTTAAATTAAATTCAAGACCAGAAATGGAAAGCTTAGGTGCAGGAGTCCCCAATTAACTATACATGGACTTCTGGTCTAGACCAGAAGTCATGTGAATTCAATTCAAAAATTTTCCCCTGAATGAAGTTACATAGATGACCAAAATGACTCTGTTGTTACCAGGAAAAGTATGATGTACAGGGATAAGACACTTCATATTTGAGATGAAGAATATATATTTTAAATTGAATAAATTAAGAGTATGATTAAAAATTGCAGTCCAGCATTGTGACGATGTCATAATATATAATTTATTTATTTGATATTAATAACAATAGACCACATTTATGTGCAAATAAGAGCATTACTTGCATATAAGATCAAGCTCTCTTTGCTTATGTGTTTCCAGTTTGTTTTGCTTACTGCTGTGTCAATGGTCAGATCTTGTGATTTTATTTATGTGGTAAAGAGATCCTGTCATTTATCTGTACAGCCTATTACCTAAATATAGGTGTAGTAAATGGAGTAATTTAGGAAAATGTAGTAACTGTTGTTACATATATGGTACTTACAAAATATATTAAATTTGTATTTCTGGAGTAGTGTTGGAAAATGTCTTGTTTTTTGTTTTAAATTTAACTCCAACCCATTGGATACACTGATGATCAAGAGGCTACAACAGCCAAAAAATTTGTTAAATGATATACTTAGAGATATTGATGACAAGGGTGATGCAGACAGATTTCAATACTAGTAGTGATACTTGCAAGTCTGAAGTAGAGGCTCGGAAAAATGAAGCTAGCAACCAGAGTTAAAATAGCAACAACAAACTTGGTGAGAAAAGTGAAGAAATGTAAATGTAAACAATTCAGTGATATCTCTGTGGTAACCATTATTAAAAGTAAAACTCCAAAATAAAAAAAAGTTTCTGATACCATGAAATTATTTTAGATATTTTGTGAAATATAGTGCCAATTTTGCCCTATCTATAAGAGCACGTTAGTGTGAAGTTCATATATATTATATCTAGTGGATTTTATACTTTAATTTAATGATGAAAAATATATGTTTTGTTCCTCTGCTAATGTGAAAGTTTGGTTTAATTGTTGAAGATTTCATTTTATGTCTTTCAATGATGGTAAATAAATATGAACATAGAAACTGTTTAAAAATGTAAATCATAATGATATGAATTATTAGTTTTTAATGTATTTTTCACAAAAATTACTTCTGTAGTGTACTTAGACTTGGATTAAAAATATGTTTTAATGTTAAATACAGGGTGATGTCACATAAGTTATTCTAATAAACAAAATGTAAAAAGTAAGAATATTTTTAGACAATTTGGGTTGATGGAAGAAGGATAAATGATATTTATCTGAAGAGTCAAATTTTTTTATTGGTTCTAAATGGATTTTTTTATCAGTTTTACTTTATTAAATTTATCACACAGTCAAGCCTTGGTTTTCAAGTGATTCACTTCTCTAACAAATTGGTTCACTAACAGAATTTCAAACTCATAATTGCACCAGTTGCCAAACAAGTTACTTGGCAAGGCCTGCCACAGATTAGAGATATAGATTGTCAACTTCCTATGATAAAGAAAGTTGACGGCTCGACCAATCACTGACCACTGATTCAGAAGTTAGTAGCACTGAGATTGCATCATTAGATATCATTACACGAATCATCGATGATGATGCTGTTTAAATTAGATTTCAACACACTTGTGGGAAAGTACTACTACCGTTTTTCAGTGGGTGCCACAGTTGAATTTAAATGAAATTAATTAATAAAAATCATTAATATAATTGGCATTCAAGAATTAATCCTTAATGGGATTGAGAAAAAGTAAAAATACTGTTTTACATCGGAGCAAAATTTTTCTCTTCAGTTATTGTGAAAAAAAAAATATATATATATATCTTCTACGTGTTGTTTTGATTAACGAAAAACACATCTATCNAAAATTTATTATTAAATATAATTTTTTCTGTTATTTTTTATTAGTACACAATTGGCACTTGGCATTATATTTAACAGTATTAATTAAATGCAAGAACTTTTAATGAACAACTTTTAGAAAGGTAATGAGTACAGCTAAAAAGGTAAAAAAAAAGGCTTTATTTTGGAAGTCAGGAATGGATTAATCCATTTTGTATTGTTTCTTATGGGAAAATTTATTTTGGTTTTAGAACAAATTTTAGGAACCGACTAATATCAAAAACTGAGGTTTGACTGTACTCTTGTGTAGATAGATAATCATATTAAGAATTTTGGCTTGTAATATTTTTTTTACCATTCCAAAATTTAGTTTTATACTCTAATGGAGTGTGTATGCTTGTAAGAAGTAAGTTATACTGTATTTATTTTACAAGTGCATAAATTTAAGGTAATATAAAATGATTTTTCATAATTTCATTTATGAAATTATGAAAAATCCTAATATCATGTTTATATCATGCAGGATTTAGATATTTAGGAATGGATCACAGCAGTGTAAAACATGATATAAACATGATGGATATAATGACTCCAATGAAATTATTTCTAGATTTGAGTAAGTATAATGTATACATATTGAGATTTGCTTTGAAAAATTACTTTGTTTCACGTTCAGAAATGCACTTTCTGTAGCTGAATGCCTGAATCCTTACTTTTTGTTGCACACTTATTTGTTTAAATCGCAAATATAAATGATACAAAAGTGTAATAACATAATTAATTATTAAATTTGTATTATTTAATAGGTGCAGATGAATGGCCAGATAGTACGGGCTCACCCAGACATAGTTTTTTTAATGGAGCAGGTGTAAATAGTGATTCTGCATCTTTAAAATCAGTGACACTACATCAACACATGTTTGATATAGTGTTATACAATATCGGTGCCATGTTAGCAGGAATTGCTGCAGGTTTTGACATACGTGTCGCTGCTCAGTCACACATTCATCCTCGTTTGACACCTGCTTGGGCAGATGACGATGAAGAGGAAAGAAAGCTTTGGTTTCGAGAACCAGGTATGCATCTCTATTTATTTATGTACAATTTTAATTATATTTGACAACTTAAGTATTTTTGAAAAGTGCTTATCCATTAACTAGTGATAAATTTGTTGATTGCAGAGAGATTGTGCACTGAGTAACTGATTAACTGTATCTTTTTAACTCTATAACTTTGTAATTCAACTTCTCATATCATTTTTGAATATTCTAAATTACTTGCTGAACATTTTATATATTTAGAATTAATAAATATCTGAAGACAAAGTCCTCCCAAAATTTAGAATTAATATTATCTGATCAAAGACTATAGAATATAATGGTGACAGAAAGCTTTTTGATTTATAGAGCAAATATAAATACTTATTTCACAATAAGTAAAATAAATATAAAGTATGTTCATCAAATCACAAACATTTTATGTTTTCCTTACATAACATAATTTAAGCCACAACTACAGAATGCTTACATGCTGTAGTTATTGCTGTAAATACTTAACTTATAAAATGTATAATAAGTTTTTACATTTTCTCTGATTTTTCACTTTTTATAAATGGAAGAATTGCTAGCATGGTTCCATACACAGTTACATTGGAATAAAGTATTAATAGGACTAATCTGAAATAAATATTTACATATGTACAGTGGTACCTCAGATTACGAATGCCCCAGCATACGAAATTTTCAGGATACGACATGAAATTCGAACATATTTTTGCTCCACGATACGAACAAAAACTCACCATACGACGTTACATTAGTTCGCATTTTTCATTTGTTTTTCTTACTACAGTTATTTTTTTTAATGTATTACTTGGCTTTAATTTGAGTATGTTTTTCGCGTTGGAACGAATTATTTGGTTTTACATGTAATCGTATGGGAAAAAATGATCCACCTTACGACATTTTCATGATACGATCTCAGTTTCGGAACGGATTAATTTCGTATCCTGAGGTACCACTGTATTAGCTAATGTATGCAGAAATATAAAAATTGATCTAATAATGGAGATTCATATCACATACATTGTTAGATCTTTACTTCATCTGTGCTATTGACTGTAAATCCTGATTTGCAGCCATAATTTATTTCAAAATATTATTTTTCTAAACCAGTTATAAGCTTTCAATAAGTATTTGCCATTAAATAAATATTCCTAATTTATAAAGACAGCCAGATTGTTAACTTAGTAAAGTATTGTGATGCCAACAAAATTAAAATTTAAAAATGTAGACATAGACTAAAATGAATTCAGATATTGAAAGTACTGTAAGGTCTCTTTCTATGCGGATTATTTTTATGTGATTATGAAGTTGTGCGGTTTGTATTTCATCCAAAAATTTCTTGGACAAACATACATACTTGTTTAGGAAGCCTGCATATAGACAGTCTCCAAAAATCGTGGAACGCTCAAAGCTCACTCCATTTGTTTCGCTGACATATAATGCTTATGGATGTAAAGGACAGCTAGATCTACCTTAATCGCTTTAGTTCCTAGCAATTTTTGATATAAATGTAATTAAACATAAAAAAAAATACTTAAAACTGAAAAAAACGAAAGAAATGCGTTAATTTTGAAGAAAAAGCTTCAAAGTTTAAGTTCCTTTGTCTCGCCCTTCTGTGAAATTTAACACCGATGAGTCATTGTTTACACATCTGGATGACCTTGAACACAGCTAGAGTTGGATTTCTAGGGGCATTCTCATAGACATCGCGGGAGGACAAGGGTTTAAAGTAGGGTGAACACTAGCTGGCCGTATATTTTTAAATATTTTTAAAAAATTTGGAGACTTAAAAAACATTCCAAAAATTCAAAAAAAAAAAATTTTCAAAAATGGCCTTAAGGACCGTGTTTTATGTAACGCTATGTAACCTTCCCGAGTTAGCTCGGGTGAGGAACTAAAGGGGTTTTAATTAACTCTTCACATCCAGATGTCAGTGATTTGTTTTTAGAGTGAGCTTTTGCAATTCGGGGATTCCCCTTGTACATGATACTTACCATCGACAAGTCGCTATTACATCATTCTGAGTTTCGCATTGAAAGGTATAAACTGTAATTGTTTTGAAATTAAATTTTATTTTAGCGGTGTTTTGTTCATTTTTATAATAAGTAGCGAGTTTAAATTTTGCTGATTTCAAGTTGCAGTATTAAGCAGCCTATTTCTTTTAATTTCTGCAAACTTTTTTATGCGGTTTTAAGTTAATTTTAACTCGTTGTTTTGGTTTTATGCGATTTTAGAAAATTACGGAACGTATCCCTACTTTTTCAAGGCAAGTAAAGTCTTTTTTATGTGAATTTTTTATATGCGCTTTTCTGTAGAATGTATCCACCGCATAAAACGAGACCTTACAGTATATTGTTTCTTAAGAGAAATATTGCTTTATATTATTCAGCTAAGCCTAGACAGTCATTTAATAATGAATTAATAAATACAGGGCTGTCACTCCATTCCTTTTTAAAGTACTAGTCCCTTTTTTTTAAAAGAAAGTCCCTTAAAAGTATTTTTTTTCTGCCCCCCCAAAAAATTTCAAATGTTGCTGCAAAAATCCCAAAAGTCTCTTTTTGTGCTCTCCAATTTATTTAATATATTTATTATATATTTCAAATGGATTATTCAATATATTTACCATCCAAACTCAATCAATGATTTTAAATTTCTATAAAAAATTAGATGATCGTAAATATATTGAAATATATTGATTTTGCAAAATTATAATGATTAGCTTCTACTTGATCTTTTTTTTAAATTAATTTTATAGTTCTCATTGATTTATTATATTTTATTTACAAAAAGACACAGCAATGTCACAATGACAATGATGACTGATTCCCCAATAAAAAATCCATAAAGTTAAAAATAGGACTAAAAATACAATTAATAAAAACATACATATTAAAAAAATTTAAATAAAAAAAATTTTAATGTGGGGGAAATAGTCGTAAAGAAGTTTTTTTATAACTGGATTTAAATTTTAAAAAATCAAGGAAGAATAGATCTTCAATGGTTACAACAGTCTTTTGATACCTTAGAAAAATGATTTAAGTGTAACGTTACGATGGGTAAATGAAGAATATAAACAGATAGAATCTCTAGATGTAAAAGAAGGAATCCATAAAAGAAAAAATTTAGAAGGGAGGAGGAGACCATTAAAATATTTATAAGAATATATTCTGTCAAAATAATTAATTTGTGTAAAAGAACAAGGAAAAACCAAGTTCACATGGGTAACCTTGGGAGAATTAGTTGAAGGGAGGTTTGCAAGCTTATTTAAAAAGAGGTAGATTTTGGCCAACTGAATGAAGTTTATGCAGAGTGGAAGCAGGGACTGATGCCTATATAGGTAAAGCCTAATCTGTTAAGGTTTGTACATTAGCAAAAAATAAAGCTCGACGTGTACTTGAAATTTCTCACCAATTGTGCACTGAATCTCAATCCATAGGGATTGAGATTCAGTGCACAAAAATCTCAATCCCTATGGATTGAGATTTTTGTTAATTGTTCAATATTATGTTTAAAAAAAAATCTTTGAATCAAAGACAATGCCAAGATCCTGAACAGTATCAACAACATCTAAAATGTAGTCATCAATATAAAAAGTTCTGTAACAATGAACTAATGAACCAGGGTATAAATCATGATTTTGGTTTCATTAGTATTAGTTTGTAAATTAAGTTTCTTAAATAAGTTCATTAACATCACTTTACAATAAGTTGTGACAAGTGTTAGCAAGTTTTCTTGTCAGCGTGTGGGGGAAATAGTCGGAAAGTATTTACAAAAGAGGAGGAAGTTCAAGAATGGGACTTATTAATGTAGACTATAAGCAATAAGTTACTAAGTAGAGATTTCTGTGGATTGCTGATCGATGGAGTAAAATCTCCATTGATCAGCAATCCACAGAAATCTGTGTAAAGTAAAAATCGAAAATTTTTATTTGACAAGAGCAATGTAAAAAAAGTTATTAATACAGGTTAGTATTTTATTATCAATTTCAAATTCTGAACATAATTTATCCAATAGGATGTTTGGAACAACAGAATCAAAAGTTTTTGCGATGTTAATATATATTACATAAGTTGGGAGTTTCAAGTTCAAAGTTTGATAAAATAAAGTGCCACTTGTTATGGAATGGTGGTCTAAACCTGAATGTTGAACAGGGCATAAATGGGAAGTAATTGGAAAATACATAATTTTTGTGCAAACAAGTTTCAAATAATTTTAACATTGTTGGAGCTAATGTAATCGGATGATAGGAATTAATTTCTTCTTTGGGGACGACAGAAATCACAGAACGTAGCCAGAGTCCAATATCTGGGGAAACAGATGAAATATAGAGACCATCAAAGGAGCCATTGATAAAGTTATGTAAATCAAGCATTAAAATAGTAATAATGAGTGTATTAACAAAAATATTAAATTTTAATAAAAATTACAAGGAAAAAATTATAAATTATATAAAATTATGAAAAATTGCACGAACTTACAACTTGTAAGAAAAATTCTTACAAGTTGAAAGTTTTACAATTTGTTTGTTTCTAAAATGGACTGATGTGGCAATTCTAGCATTCAGTTGTATACTCTGGAAACAATCTTAAATGATAGTATACAAACGAAATTTAATAATGGCAGATATAATGTATCAGAGAAATAATTTTCATATATACAAACAAATATTTTGTATAATTAATAATATTTAATATTAATTAATATTAATATTAAATAT